TAAATGGGATCAGTTCCTTAATTTCTCTTTCTGCTGCTTCATTATTGGTATATAGAAATGCAACAGATTTCTGTACCTTAATTTTATATCCTGTGTGACTTTCCTGAATTCATGTACCAGATCTAACAATTTTTTGCCAGAGTTTTTCAGGTTTTCTACATCAAGTATCATGTCATCTGTGAATAGGGTGAGTCAGGCAGTTAAACAATGAAGAAGAGACTTCTTCTTCAAATGAAAATTTGACTTCTTCCTTGCTGATATGGATGCCTTTTTTCTTTTTGTTGCCTGATTGCTGAGACTACAACTTCCAGCACTATGTTAAATAACAACGGTGAGAGTGGACATCCCTGTCTTGTTCTTGTTCTGTTTTTCCCCACTGAGGATGATGTTAGCTGTGGGCCTTTCGTACATGGCCTTTATGATGTTGAGGTATGTTCCCTCTATCCCTACTCTGTTGAGGGTTTTTATCAAAATGGATTTTGTCTAATGTAATGCTGTATTGTATGCAATATAATGCTGTCCAATATAATGTCCAATGCTGTATTTTGTCAAATGCAAAAGCTGATATCTCAAAGGCTAGTAGGGTTGCTGGGGATTTGTACTTTCATATTCTATTGCATTTTTCAAATTGTGTGCAGTAAGTGAGAATATATTAAGAAATTCATACAATATAGATAAGAGTATTCCCCAGAAGTAGCCTCCCGCTTTTCATTTTGGTGTATACTGCCCATACTTTTACTGTGTGCATTGAAATACATATAGAAACAAAAATTTAAAAATACAACATATGATCTAGTACATATAATTCAACAATTTGAGTTTTTCACTTACTATTTTTATGCCACCACATATATATCTACCTCCTTCTCTTCTCCTGTTGCATGATGTTCCCAAAATTAGATATACTATAGTTTAACTACATGCAGATTGTTTCAATTTCTTGTTACAGGCAAAACTGTAGTGGATCTTCATATACATATTTGTTAGTGCATACATACAAGTATTTCTAGAAGGGAGGTACCAAGAAGGGAAACTGCTAGCTCAAAGGCTGTGCATGTTGTACATTTCAGTAAGTACTAACAAATTACCCTCAAAAAAACGTTTTTCTAATTTATGCTATCATTAATAGCACATGAGTTCTCCACACCCTTGCCTACACTTGATATTATAAATGCTTAAAATTTTTGCCAATTTTATAAGGGAAAAGTATATATCTTATTTTAATTTGCACTTCCTTAGTTACTGAGTTCCACCATTTTTTTAAAGTTTATTTTTGTCATTTGGATTTCCTCCTGTCTCAATTGTCCCCTTTTTCTATAAGACTTATTATCCTTTGTGATTTAAGGTGTTATTTAGATATATTTTGAATATTAGTCTTTTGCTATACAGGTTTCAAAATTTTTCTGTCAGCTCACCGTTTGTGTTTTGTCAATTTTGAAATAGTCAAATATTTTTCTTTATGGCTCTTGGGTTGTTCTTTGATGTCCCTTCCTATCCCACGTTTTCCTAGATTCTAAATATTCTTAGAGCTTATTTTGAAAATTTAGTCTTTAAACTATGTGGACATTAATTTTTGTGAAGACATGGAACCTAATTTGTTTTTCTTTCTTTTTTTTTTTAAACACTTTTTTTAAGATTTTATTATTTATTTGACAGAGGGAGACACAGAGAGAGAGGGAACACAAGCAGGGGGAGCAGCAGAGGGAGAGAGAGAAGCAGGCTCCCCGCTGAGCAGGGAGCCCAATGTGGGGCTCGATCCCAGTACCCTGGGATCATGACCTGAGCCAAAGGCAGACGGTTAACCGGTTAACCGACTGAGCCACCCAGGCGCCCCCTAATTTGTTTTTCAAATGAATAACTAGTTGTCCAAACACTGTTTATTTAACCTTTCTCCACTGACTTGAAATGCCATCTTCCTCATATGCAAAATTCCCATATATACATAAGACTGTTTCTGTATTATCTTTTCTGTTTCATTATCTATGCTTATCTCAAGGTCATACATTTAGTCTATGGTTTTATGATATGCTTTGATATAGGGCAAGTTCCACCTTCCCCGTTATTTCATTTATAATAAAAAAGGTTTAAAAAAACTCTGTTCTTTGGGTGCCTGGGTGGCTCAGTCAGTTAAGTGACTGCCGTCGGCTCAGGTCATGATCCCAGGGTCCTGGGATCAAGTCCCACATCGGGCTCCCTGCTCCGCGGGGAGCCTGCTTCTCCCTCTCCCCCTCCCCCTGCTTGTGTTCCCTCTCTCGCTGTGTCTCTCTCTGTCAAATAAATAAATAAAATCTTAAAAAAACAAAACAAAACAAAACTCTGTTCTTCATTGTTTAACTGCCTGACTTTCCCTTCTTCCTTGAGTTCCACATGACAGGGAGGTAAAATTAAAAATATCCATAGGCATGGGAAAAGAGAGAAAGGAGACAAAAAAAGAAATGTTCTCAAGATGGTATTTTTTCCCCTATACTTCAAGAAGCTACCCTATGAATTATGCCACATACAAAATAAGGTAGATTTTGTATGTTCAGCCACTGTCTAAATCAAAGCTGTTTCTGGTTTCATTACTAGCCAGTCACCAATGACGGGGACCATGTATACGTAAAATGTGAATTGATGGGAAATAGAAACATGACTCAGTTTGAGAAAATGAACAAGGACTAAAGTGAACAAAGAACATGGTGAGAACCAATAAAATACTTATTCTTATGGATCCACCTGCCAGGAACTAAAATCTCTTAAGCTTAGTGTGTCTATGGTATCTTGAGTTTTTTCTGCTGCTTCTATTTATGCCACTTGATGTTTTATATGGATTATAGGGGGATCAATTCTTTATTTGATAACTGAAATGACAAAAGAAAGGAAAAGTATTATTAGGGATATTATAGTAATGAGTAACAGAAAATATCATGTTAATTGGAAGTTGGTAAGCATTAAAAAGGGAACTTGGCAAATAAACAGTTTAACCTTTAAATCCAACCATTGTACACAATATGGTTATATTCAATATAAAGTTGTATCTGTTTTCATAGTGAAGCTAATGTTACACCGGTAGGAAAAGCTGTCAGGTGGGCAAGAATGGCTTTACCCCAACAGTTAATTATTTACAATGAACTTAATTGTTTGTTGCGGGGGGGAAAAAAAAACATGTTGATAAGGCACGATTGTCAAGGGCCTTGGTAGTGTGTACTCTAGTTGCCCTCACTGAATTCATATTTTACTTTATTATTATTATTTTTTAAAGAGTTTATTTATTTATTTGACAGAGAGACACAGCGAGAGAGAGGGAACACAAGCAGGGGGAGTGTGAGAGGGGAAGCAGGCTCCCCGCTGAGCAGGGAGCCGGATGTGGGACTCGATGCCAGGACTCTGGATCATGACCGGAGCCGAAGGTAGTCGCCCAACAACTGAGCCACCCAGGCGCCCCTGAATTCATATTTTAAAGTGCTCATAATCTGTTAGCTCCATGAAACCTAACAACCTTTGTTTTTAAAACCAACTTTTTTGTAAACCTAGAAGTGTAGCTTTTGAGGAAAAATTGAAAACAGTGTAACTATTTTACGTATCATATAAATTATATAGCAAATCTTCTCTAGGTGGAGTTCATCCCGATAAGTTGTGGGCATTTTCTAGGAAACTGGTGCTAACGAATCTTCTGTCAAGTTGCTTCCAAACTACTCAAACTCTTAGTGGGGCGCTCGGTTAGGAAGCGTGCTTCTGAGTTCGTTCTATAGCGGGCGCTGATGAGAGGCGGGAGCCTATGGACGCTCTGACGCGGTTGCGTACGTTTAAGATCTTCCCGCTCTTACCCGGTGGGCTAAGACTTTTAACTGTCATCTGACTGGTCTGGCTTCCCACTCTGTCTGGTGCCCCCTGGTGCTCATCACCTGTACAATCTTGAGTAGTTGCGAGGAGCGAAGGGGTTCGGAGAGCCTAAGGATGCTTTCAAGGAAAGCATTCCATTACTGTGAACTACATGGATCTAGATTTCCTCTAAGTCCAAAGCCACGGTATAAATTACATGTGTACATTCATGTACCTCTAGAGAAAGGGGATGTTGTTTTACTAAGCCCTCAGGCAAATGAAAGATGGAAATTAAGCTCAATCGACTACATAGCAAAAGTCAACTCGGCTCTCTCAAATTTGTGGTAAAAGACGCAAAGATACGTGGACCTTCTCTATTCTCGAATCCTCGCTCACCGCACCCTTAATTTTTTTCTGGCATAGCAAAGGATTCAGTATGCTCCTGGATTTCAGGAAGGCAGCCCATCTTTGAGAGCCAGACTATCTATCGTGGGGCTCGAGGTGAGAGTGTGGCCTTAATTGTTATGGAAGGGAAGAGGAGAGGAGGTAACACTCCCTGTCTCCTTCTGCAACCCATTTTATCACTATTAATCCCATGCACAATTTTCACAAAATTTCTTTTACCCTAGGGAAGGAGTCTTCAGACCCTCTGGCTCTCTGAGCTCAGGTTCTGGTTCTCTTTGCTTGCTTTCCTCCTCCACTCCCACACCCCTACACTCAACACTACTGCGGCTCTCTCCATTAAAGATGAACAACAGATCATCTTTCATTGCATGGCAACCTCTTAGCGCTCTCTCGCCTCAGCAGTGCATGACGGGAGTCTCTCCTCTCGTCCTGCCTCCCTCTTCTTTTTTTTCTTCCGGCCCTTTTTCCACAATTAAACGCTAAATAATGATTTTCCTAGCTAGCGTTGACTTAAGGATGGGGTTTAGCGACCCACGGTGACGCTCCCATCAGCCTTCCAGAAGGGGCGGTTTCCAAAGAAAACTACAACTCCCATGAAGCATCAGGCTAAAGCAACCACAGAGCATCACGGAAGTCGTAGGCTCCCTCCTCCCCAATCCCTTTCATGCTTCACAGGCAAGAACTACAAATCCCAGGGAGCCTCGGTACTAGCACGCCTGCGCGAGAGCCCCGAGAGCCGGGTGGGGGTGGGGCGCCCCGGGCGGCGGGGGGCGGGGTCCGAGCGGGCTGTGTGGAGGCTTCAGACTCCCGGCGCCATTTAGCGCGGAGAGTTTCCCCGGCGGACGCGGCTCTCCACGCTCGGCCACTCTGCACCCCCATCTTCGGTGACAGAAGGAGCCTGGTGGGGGTGACTACTCTTTCCTCTCCCTAACCCCCTTCACCCAGTCCTCTCGGTCTCCTCTACTCTCGGCCCAGAGAAGCCGCGGAGCTCGGGCCCCGCGGTGAGCGGCCCTCCCCTCCCCACCGTTCCCTCCCTCTGTCAGCCCCCGGCACCGGCCCGGGAGGAGACGGGGGTTTGCCAGGCCCGGGGCGGGCGGGGAGGCCTCGGGGAAGGGGGGGCCCGCTCCTCAGGCACCGAGGCTTCGAGGCTTCGGCTCTTCCCGTCCGGGCGATGGGCGCCCTGTGAGACTGGTCCCCCTAGCTGGGGGCGCGTGTGGGAGGAGGCGACCGACTGACTGACCGGGAGCCCCCGGGCCGGCCCTCCCTCGCCTTCCTCGGCCCCTCCCACCCTCTTCGGCTCTGGGATTGCCACCGCTCGGGAGTCCGTGCTCGTCCGTTCCTCGCTTTGCCGCCGCCCCCGGGGCCTAGCCCGCCCAGCTCGGGAAGCGGCGGCGGCGGGGAGCTGGAGCCGCCGCCGCATCCACCGCATCCGCTTCGACTCGGTGCCGGCTCCTTGCCCTGCCCCTCATGACTGCGGCGCCTCTGCTGCTCCAGCCTTCCCGGCCGCCGCTCGCCGCAGGATGGATGCGGACCGTGAGGCGCTAACCCCCGTGGCTCAGCTCCTCGACCGCCCGCCGACGAGCCCCCTCGTGAGCCGCAGCAGCCGCCGCAACTGGGCCCAGTGGTCCGCGTCTCCTTCGGGGCGGCTTGTCAGTGCTGAGTGAGGAGCCGTCCGGGTGCATCCGAACCCGCCGGGAGCGGGAGCCCTAGTAGCGGAACCCGCACACCTCCGCCGCTCTTCGGGCTCGGCCCCTCGCCCTCTCTTCATTCACAAGTTCGAGCCGCTCGCCTCGCTTGTGCGGACCGACCATGTCAGGCGGCGCCGCAGAGAAGCAGAGCAGCACTCCGAGCTCCCTGTTCCTCTCGCCGCCGGCGCCTTCCCCCAAGAATGGCTCCAGCTCCGATTCCTCGGTGGGGGAGAAACTGGGCAGCGCGGCGCCCGACGCTGGGACCGGCCGGACAGAGGAGTACCGGCGTCGCCGCCACACTATGGACAAGGACAGCCGTGGCGCGGCCGCGACCACGACCACCACCGAGCACCGCTTCTTCCGCCGCAGCGTCATCTGCGACTCCAACGCCACTGCGCTGGAACTGCCCGGCCTTTCCCTTTCTCTGCCCCAGCCCACCGTCTCCGCGGTCGCGCCGCAGAGTACTCCGCCGGAGCCGCACCGCGAGGAGACCTTGACCGCCACCGCCGCTGCCCAGGTAGCCCAGCTACCTCCCGCCTCTGCCGCCCCTGGGGAGCCAGCCGGCGCGGGCCCTGCCGCCGCGACTGCCCCCAGCAGTACCAGCAGAGATCGCCAAGTGTCCCAGCCCAACCATGTGGGGAGCAAAGAGGAGCCTCCGTCGGCCAGAAGCGGCAGCGGCGGCGGCACCGCCAAGGAGCTGCAGGAGGAACGGAGCCAGCAACAGGATGATATCGAAGAGCTGGAGACCAAGGCCGTGGGAATGTCCAATGATGGCCGCTTTCTCAAGTTTGACATCGAAATTGGCAGAGGCTCCTTTAAGACCGTCTACAAAGGCCTGGACACTGAAACTACAGTGGAGGTCGCCTGGTGTGAACTGCAGGTATAGCCCCACTTCTTTATTTTACGGTGGTTTGGATCTACATTTGGCTCGGTGAAGCCAGTTTATCGAATTCCTCCTTTACAAGTCATTCTCTTAACTGTTCGCCCTGGCGGGGGGGGGTGGGGTGAGGGGAGTGGGAGGCCAACTTTTGAAAGAGATTGAAACTAGAACTTGGGGCATGACCTAGGTAGGATAAGAATTATTGGTAGCCAAAGAGGTTTGCTACTGGGGGGAGTGGTGAAAATCATCTTAGTACAAACGCATTACCTACTTGTTACTGTTTTAGTGTCTGGCAGGAAACTCGGAGTTAGTGGGAAAGTTTCTGAGTTAGGAAAGTACAGAATCTTCTTGCCTTGTGCATTTCAATCTCAGCAGAGGCTCTGCACTGTTGAGCTGCTGGTGTGTTACATGCGAGTTTCCATCCGCGAGATCAAGCTGTACTTTTAAAATAAGAACGACCTTGTTCCTGAATGACCTTACTTGGGATATATCTTAGTTGGTGATTGCACAGGCATTTAATATAAACTACAAAAAAGACTTTCTTCTCTGGATAAATGACTTCGGACTAGAAAGGTACAATAAGTGTTTGGTATTGTCCCACTTGATGATGCTTAAGGCTTTTGGTAGCTAGAAGTTACCTGACAGGGTAAATTAAAACTAGTAAGGCTTCACCCCATTCACTATACAGTGACTAGTACAAGAGCCCATGTAAAACTGTGTGCTTTGAGATTTGTAATGTCACTATGGTTATTTTAAACTTGTTATGAAAGGTTTTTAAGCCCGACTTTTCCAAGAGTCCAAAGGACTCAAAGTGCTTTGCTTTTAACCTCTCAGGGAGGTTTTCATGGTGTAAATAATGGTGTGTCATTCTGGTTGACAAGTATATTCTACTTTTAAATAGCTAGGTTTGGGCAACTTGTTGCTTGACCTATAGCAGCTTGATTGAACGTTGCTCGCATCCGGAAGTGAACGGAGGTTGTTGGAAGAAGCAGAGTTCCACTGAATGAAAAAGTCAGTTACAGTATACAGGAAAAATGCCATTATCTGTATTCTTCTTGTCAAGAAAATGGACTGAATGGATCAAAATAGGATATGAAAGTAACTGAATAGGAGTTTATTTTATCCATGAATGAATATGTTAGCACTTAACCCTTTGAATGTCACCTTCCAAATGACCAAGGCCATATCAAATGTGAAGGGAAGTTAACTCAACATGTGGAAGGAAGTGAACTTAAAAACTGACAAGTTCTTTAGGAACGTAATAATTTCTTAAGTTTTACAGTAAATGATGTAGAACTTCTAAGGCATTGTGAAATAAAAGCTCAATTTTATGGTGGTTTATATTGAAAAGGGTGCAGACCTTTTTGAAAAAATCTTGTCAAACTATAATTTATTCTTATTGGTCAGTCATACTCAAAAACTTAGGTCTGATTCCTTTTGGTTTACAGGCAAAAATTCTGTTTACACGGGGACACTTTTTTTTTTCTGCTTTTGTACCAGGGGTGCCTATTGCTGCTGATTCTGGATTTTATTCTTTTGTTAAGGTTTTACACTTGAATAGGTGCTCTATAGATATATATTTTTTTTTTTTTTTTAAAGATTTTATTTATTTATTTGACAGAGAAAGACACAGCGAGAGAGGGAACACAAACGGGGAGTGGGACAGGGAGAAGCAGACTCCCTGCCGAGCAGGGAGCCCGATGCGGGACTCGATCCCGGGACTCCAGGATCATGACCTGAGCCGAAGGCAGTCGCTTAACCAACTGAGCCACCCAGGCGCCCTATAGATATATTTTTTTAGTTGGTTACCTTACTTTCTTAAGACTGGACCCAAGTAAATGTTGAGCAGTTTATGGATTAATTTTGTTAGTTTCAATTTGAATTTAACTTTGAGGATTTACAAAAGTGTAATGTGTGTATTTTCCTTAATCACCTGGAATTTTTTTTTTTTTTTTAATTTATTTGAGCAAGCATGAGTGGAGGGGGAGGGGCAGAGGGAGAGGGACAAGCAGACACTCCCCCCACCCCGCCCCCCAGCAGGGAGCCTGTTGCGCAGTTGGATCCCAGGACTCTGGGATCATGACCTGAACCATCCAGGCACCCCTCACCTGGCATTTTTTGATAGTTTATCTTGGAACTAATGACACAGTGGGAAAAATCAATTGTCTAATGTCATAATAATTTTGTCTAAGCTCAGTTTTTCTTTGAACTCATTGCTTTTTGGATTTTTGTTCTCTGTCTAGACATGGGCATGGTCAAATTAAAGAATATCGGATGCTTTATATATAATATCACCATATTATTTTAAAACCAGTTGAGGATTTGGCTGCAGAACCAAATAAATCCTAGCTCATTGAGTGGTACCCTGGTTTAGAAACTTTCATATGTCATTTGGCCCTGTTTATACAGTTTTTCGTTTTGTTTTTTAAAATGTGATTTTCCCAGCCCCAGGATCCTTTATAGCAGTAGTTGGGCAGTATTTTTGGTTTCTTGACCTGGACATTTTCCTAATAACCTATTCATTAGGTGAGTGTTTGAGTTCTTATCTTTGGATACAAATTAAAGGACAAGTCAAGGGATTATTAGCGCATTGGAAAGAAAGCAAAGCTTTTTCATGAAAGTATACTTCTAACATACATATTTTTTGTAGGAAGATAGGAGAAATACTGTATTCAGTTGTTGAGTTAAAAATCTTAGTGTATTAAAATTGGAAGAAATCTTATGTTATTCTGCCCAACTACTTACTTAATAAAGAACCTGAAATCATGGAGCAGGTAAATGACTTGCTTAGATTGGTAAAGAACAAATTTTAAACTGGTTAGGATCGGGGCACCTGGGTGGCTCAGTGGGTTGGATGTCTGCCTTCAGCTCAGGTCATGATCTCGGGGTCCTGGGATTGAGACCCTCTTTGGGCTCTCTGCTCAGCGGGGAGTCTGCTTCTCTTTCCCTCAGTGCTCTCTCTCTTTCTCAAATGAATAAATAGAATCTTAAAAAAAAAACTGGTTAGGATCTAATGATTTGGGAAATGTTAAAACATTTCTAGTCTAGTAAATGGCTAATTAGTACATCTCAAGTGAGGCAATTGTATTTTGGTGTGGAAGTCACTATCAGATTTCTTCAGAATTCTGTAATCATAGCAAATTCAATACTTTGGTTTGGGTATTGATTTTATTAATTCAAATGTATAAATAGGCTTTTTGGGTTGGAGAATGAGTGAATGTGGTATACAAATCAAATTTGTTTCCATCAAGCTAATTTTTAGAATCACAGTATGCATAGCTATCTATTAAAACAGGTATCAATTCCTAATAAATAATATTAGGTAATACTTTGATACCACAGGATCTTAAGTACTAACTTTGATCTTTTAAGATGCAGATTTCTTTACATGATTTTATTAGGCAAATGACATGCCTTAAATTTTAATACTCAGTTTGCCTTGGTCAGAAAATGTTATTGCTGGACTTTGCAGAGTTTACGTTGCTTTTCTATGGAAGGATCTTAGTTTTTTAAGAAATGTAGCATAATTTTTTAAAGAAAATGTATTTATACACAGATTTGTAAATGATTTTACTTACTTTAAGTACTTTTCTCCCCAAATTCCTTCTAGCATTCACTTGATAACTTGATACATTCACTCTGTATATTGATGAGATTGTTTCCAGATCAACTTGGAAGGGGAAGTCAAATTTTGTTTAAGCTCCAGTGTTCTTAGTGCTTGCTTTGCTCTGGCTTCTTTTTCTTCTTCTTCCTTTTTTTTTTTTTTGTAAATTAAGGGTCATGTCTCATCATGAGTATATGATACTAATTTTTTTTGGACTTAATTTTCTTTTTTTAAATTGAAGTATAGTTGACACAATGTTATATTAGTTTCAGGTGTCCAGGTTTTTATTAATGTTTTATAAAAAGTTTAGCAATGCTGCAGAAATGTGATGTGGTTCTGTGATTAAGAAACCATAATTTATTTCTTTGCTTTAGTTCTTAAAATAACTCCTGAACTGAATCTTCCATTTGAATATTGATGGGTTTTTTGCCTTTATTTTTTACATTTGTGCCAAATTCCTTGTTTTTCAGGATGAGAATCTTCAGTAATTTTCAATCCCAGGAACAAGGTTTCAGGGAATGGTCTTCGGAGTTTTTTTTGTTTGTTTATTTTAAAGTCTCAGAGTCACTGATGAGTATGGGCAACATTGAGATAACTCAGGTGTTGCTGCTGTGCAAATTAAAGAATGATTGGTAACTTGTTTGAAGTAATCCTTTTTCCCTCCTAACAAGACAGAATGGGATTAAAAATAGCATAATTTTGGTTTGGTATGATTTAAAATATATGTAAATTTATTGCTGTAGGAAGTAATCTTTGTGGTACAGGAATTGAGAATTTAAGTTGATTCAATGATTTTTCTTAGCGTTAAGGATTTAAATGTTTTCCTTTTTTCTCATCTTAAGTATCTTAAGTATCACAGTTGTTCCTAGTGTAAGGTTGTTTTTGTGTAAAACAAATGAGGAATCTATTGTATGGTGATTGAGTTCATTTCTTGATATTTAGGTTTTAGTGCAAGATCCTGGTCATTTGAAAGGCATTCTATTTAATCTCTATGGAAACATGCAACTAAAACTGAGCTCTCATTTTCGGAAATTATTTTTTTTTTTTAAAGGGGGGGCCAAATTATATTATTACTTTAAAATTTGATTACAACCAATTTTGTTGGCATTAAAATTAGAGGTATTGTAAATTTGAATGGATAAACCAAAAACCAGAAATTAAGTTTGGTAAAAATGGGAATAGGAGTTTTTATTTGGGTTTTCTAGTAGTTTTTAAGTTTTTTAGATAAAGCTGTAAAAGTAGCAAGAGTGGTTATGCTCAAATTATAATTTCTGAAAATGTTAGTATAACATGAAAAAATTTATAAGTTACTAGGTTTTGCTGTACCAGTTCTTTTTATTTTTAGCATCTTGCATTTTATTTGAGGAATTTTTTGTTTTTTTTTTTTTTTTTTCTT